TGCCATGAGTGAATTTTCTGTGACCTGCTCTGCATCTGGTTAAATGGACTTCAGTAATCTGTACACAGTACTTCTTGCTTATTTTATATCCTGAAAGATATTAAGTCCAACAAGCTTTTACTCACAGAGTCTACAGAGAAAACGGCCAGGCAATTTTTGTTTCAATCTCTGTGTCTCTCTGGAGCACTAGTTCCAGAGGCTGATCAATAGGTTTTATTGTAGACCTCACTGTCTCTAAAAGCATTGTGACCTTATCCTGTCTAAAAATAGTATTTGCTCTTGCCTGCAGAACCTTGACCTGTGAAAACCCATTTGGAACATAACTGACATATCTAGTCAGCTGTATATCCAAGACATACTCTGTGAATGAATTCTGTGCAGAACCATCCGGGAGAGCACTTTCTTCCAAGACAAATAAATTCCAGTTCTGAACACTGGGAGTGCACCTGCTTATCTGATGTGATGGGCCAGATGGTGGGGAGTGAGGGAGACTGCCCCCGTGGAGCAGTCAATGTGGGAGGGGGACTGTCACAGAGACATTCAGCCCTGAATAGGGCAAAGGACTGCAAGGGGCAAGAGCTTGTGCTGACTTGCAAGTTGGCTTTACACAAGGCCCTTTTTAGAGAGCGTGATTCTCTGACGTTTTTCTTGGCAGCTGCAGTCTTGAACCTCATTGGAAGGGATCCTCCAAAACATGACCCAGAAGGAAAGAAGTATTTCTGAGTTTAAAGTAACTTCCCTATTTGACAATGTGGGACTTTATTTGTTACTTTATTATTTTTAGGTGTGATAATAGTTTTGTGGTTGTACTTAAGAGAAGAAAAGAGTTCTTACCTTTAAAAAACACATACAGAGGTGTTTATTGATGATATGATGTCTGGGATCAACTTAAATAACGAAATGGGCCAGGGAGGCGATAGGGTTGGGGAAGACAAGAAGGACCGTGCGCCGTGGTGCCGGGGGCTGGGAGATGTGTACCTGGGGACGGATTGATAACATTCTCTCTACTTTTGTATGTATTTGAGATTTTTTCCAGAAAATGAAGGTATTGCCTGACTGGTAGAGAGCAAAATGGCCTTGCGGTGGGTGTTGTTTCTTCACCAAGGGTTTGGCTCAGAGGTAGCTAGGGGACAAGTGTCCTGTGGGTAAGAAGGTCCCTGTGAGCCCAAGTCTTGTGTGTGGGAAGTGCATTGTGAAGGGGTCATCTCAGGGTCTGCGGTGTCCCTTGTCTCCCATTCTCCTGGAAGAACAGAGATCACTTGGCTTTTTCAGTGCACGAGGAAGCGTCAGATGTGGCGTTTGCTTGAGTTTCAGCACAGGTGCCTCTGTTCACTGTGGTGGGGGTCAGGAAGAAGCGGCTGAGATGTGCCCACTTGGCTGGTAGTGTTGATGAGACAAGGCTCTGGGACCTTCCTTTGGCCACTTGAGCCCTGGCTATTAGAGAAAGGTGGTTTGCCTGAGAGGAGACTGACCACACTCTGAGAAAGAAGGGGACAAAGAATGCGTGGAGGGTTAAGCAGTCTTCTGTTTAAGGGAGGACTGGGGCACAAGACGGAAGGTGAGAGGGAGCAGAGCGGCGATAGCAGGGCTGAAAGGGGCATTTTGTTCTCCTGGTTAGCAAAAGCCGGGACTGTCGCTGTATGACTTGAAAGCTAGGTCGCTGGTGGGCTTCGCACAGCCCGTCACAGGGGAGCCATGGTGGGCCTGGTCTCTGCCGTGTCTGCTGCCTGGAAGCTGACACCGGCCTAACCACACCGTTCCCAGGCCCAGGCCCAGGTTCCTCTGGTTTTACAAAATGTCCGCTCCCGCTCGCTTCACGCAGAGGCTATTATTAGCAAGTGTCACTCAGTTATCTGAGAGTGGCGCTTTCAGCTGCCATCTAAGTGCCTGACACTTGGGTTTACAGCAGTTTAAATTAAATTTTAGGGTGGTTTGGCTTCACTGGCAGTAGACAATGGAAGGCAGCTGTTGTAGAAATGTAACCTGGCATTCTCAAGGGTGTGTGTGTGTGTGTGTGTGTGTGTGTGTGTGTGTGTACTGACCATTAGGCTATACTTCCTTTTCCTTTTCTCTCCATTTCATCCCTTTCCAAAAAGTGTTTGTTTAGACAAATAGTTTCCCAGACTTGGTTTTTCATGTTGGATTGACGAAGGTTGTGTATAGCGCTGGAATAATTTTTTCTTCTTTCTACTGCTATTGGCACATCAGTGTCTTTTTTCTGCAAAGAAGGGGCTAAGCTTGAATGAAAACACTGGTGGGAACCCACTGGAGAAGGGCATGGGTGGCTTTTGGTTCGGTTGGTGGCTGTTTTGATGGGTGGTATAGGCAAAATGTCTGGCTGCCCCTTCAGATTCCTGTAGGTCCTGTAGGCTACCATCATGGGGTAGGGGAGGGGGACTCTCTGCTCCTTTTGATGCAAATATCTTCACGTTCTGTGGTGCTTCTGTGGTTGTGCCTATGAATTTAGGACCTTATGCCTCGTAATGTTGAGTCAGAGCAAAGCAGTGTATATCAAAGGCCACTTATTTAATTTTCTTCAGAAAACTCTGTGAGAATAATTTCTCCTTCTTAGAAACAGAATGCAAATGTGTACATTATTTCACTGAAGGGTGATGCTCTTTACTTTTATAATCTAGATTTTAAAAAATTTGGTGGCACTTGATTTCAGTTCCTCAGACTCCAGAATTTATACTCACTGATTAGTAATGCATTATGCAAATAATTCAGTTTACATATCCAAATACTGTTTTGCATCATTCACACCTCATGTCTTGAAAAAAAAAGTGAAATGTTTCCTCAAAATAAACAAAACCTGCAGAAGAGTTTATTGTAAGGGTGAAAATTAAAGAGGCATCCATTTGCCTGGGAACTTTTGAGGAAGATTTTAATACTCGTGCATAAATAATTTTGTATTTTTTTTTTATTATTTCTACCCAAAGGATGTGCCACTCAAGGCATATTCTATTATCTTTGGCTTTCTGAATTTTTCAATTTTTGGTAAAAGGAGCCATAACCCTACATCATATACCCATTCGTGCATATGAAAATTTAGGCTGAGTTATTTGAAGAGGGTACAATAATTGCTTTCCAGTGACATGATTCTCCTGCCAGAGAGAGGGGAGAGTAACTAGGTGCAAACTTTTAACACTCCAAGTCTAGAGAGAGTTGTCCAAGCATAGCCTTGAATTCCTAAGTTATGGATTGGCGAATGGCAGTGCCCTATGAAAACGATCTCTGTTTTCACTGGGTTTTTATGGTGACGGGAGTAAATCAAGAGAATACAGAATGTGACCTGGAGCCCTTTCTGAATAAGCACAGCCCCATATCCATGTGAATTCCCAAACCAGTGGCTCCCAACTGCATGTGTCAGAACAGAGTTGGCCTCAGAAATCTACAAGATTCCAGTGGTTCTAGCCTCACTCTCTCCAGTGGTCGACTTACTGTTGTTGCAAAGCATGTCATATTTCAGGAGCGATTTCCCTTGTAAGGAAAGAAGAAAGGCAGGCAGGCAAGCAAGCGAGGACCTTATTTTCTCTCTGCAGCATGAGTGCAGTCACCTTTTTCCTACGATGCTCCACACCCATCTCTCCTTACAGGTTATAGACACATTTTTGGCACTGCATAAAGTAAGCGTTCCAACATGTTTTTAATCTTTAACTTTCACGTCGTTAAAAGGCTTATGTACTGACTTTCAGCTGCCTGGAGATAGTTCAGGGCCCAGCACCTGACAGGTGTAATGTTCTGTGTTTTATGTCTCTCAATATGGAGGTTATAGAATTAAAAAGACTGCAAAATGCCTTAAAGGTGTTGATACCCATAGACAGAGAATACATAGTCCTCAGGTTCCCTTTCTTGCCCCATTTTCACACTTACTTCTTTTTTTTATAGCACCTGTATTTGAAAGGGGTTCTTGGTGTACTTGGGAGAAAAGAAGCTTCTCGGTTTGGTATTACCTGCCAGAGACTCCCTGTTTCCTGCTGGTATCAGAATTGAAAAATCCCACTTCTCTTCATTTTCTCTCAGGAGTTGAGAGATGTGTGCCATCGTTCTTTTAAAGAATGAACTCTCCTTTTGCTGTGGATTCTAGGGAGCAGATTTGGTGCATACTGTGGCTTCAGGACCCAACTTGAATGACAGAATGTCAGTAACAAGCAGCCCCAGGAAATATGGCTGTGAACGACTGCCTCTTGATCTTCAAGCAGCAGCACGTGGATGGGGTTCATCCAGCTTGACTGGAACTTGAATTGTAATTGATGAGTCCTTAAAATCTACCCCCCATCCCCAGGAATACCTTATGGCACCCCATCTTACTGATTCTGGTTGGGCTTTTAAGCGACCTCTGTAATGACGAGTAGGCTCTTAAAACTCTTAAAACTTTCTCAACCTTCTCTGCTGGGTTTGTGTGTCACCTCTCATGCACTCTCTGGTGTGTGGTGATTCTCAGATCTGGAGCAATGCTTCCTGCCTTGTCCCCCCCATGCCTTTGCGTGTGGGAAACTAACATTCACGTGTGTGATGCCCTCCCATGTGCCATTCTTACCTGGTCCCGTCCTTCTGTTCACTCTTTATTCATACTTAAGTGCAGGTGAGTTGGAATGTCATCTTACAGGCATAATCCTGAGTCTGCTCTAACGCGGACATTTTTAAAGTAAATTAAATGTTAGTACTAAGTAGTAGCCAAATTCTCTGGGTCTGCTTCATGACTGGCTGTAACACACTGGTATGGAACTGTAGGTCTAATCCCATGCTTCCTTTATCTATGATGTTTCATGGATTATGGGAGTTCAGCAGATGTTGACGGAGGGAATGACACAAGATGATTTTAGGCCTAGGCTTGATACAGAAAAAACTGGGCCAAATTTTGTATTTTCTTTAAAAAGACAGCTATTTCTCAGTCATTTTTTTTTTTTTTTTTTTAAGGTTTTTTTTTTTTTTTTTTTTTTTGAGATAGGGTCTTGCTATGTTGCCCAGGCTGGTCTTGAACTCCTAGTCTTAAGCAATCCTCCTGCTGTGGCCTTCCAAAGTGCTAGGATTATAGGCATGAACAACTACCCCTGGCCTTCAGTAATTATTTTAAAGTCTTTTAAAAATTTTTTCTCTTCCCCTTAAATTGTCTTTTAGAGTAAGGTTCTTGTTCCTCTAGTCGACAAGAGTATCTGAGGAATCACAGAAGAAAGTACAGGCCTTTGAGAGTAGCTTCCTTCGTGGAAAGGCAGATGAATACTTATTGAGCATCTCCTATGTCCTATCATTTACCCTGCCATTTTACAGATGAGAAAGGTTGAGGCTAAGAGAGTAGTGAGTGCCAGAGGTTACTTGCTAGGTAGTGGTGGACTTGGTCCAGAGCCTGGGGCTTCCTACTTTCATTCCTGGCTGACTGTATTAATTGCATGTGATGTCTCCATGGCCAGCAGGAGCCAGAGGTGGCCCACATGTGCTTTGCAGAGGAAGTTGTGCCGCCACTTTTATGAGTGACGGCTGGAATGCTTTTCTTAACTGGAACTTTGTTGATGAAGAACCTGGTGCTCTGTGGCAGTGCTAACCTGGGGAGCCCGTGCTAAAACCCAAGCAGCAAAACCACCACCCAACCCCCTGTGCTGTTGCCGTGAATGCTCATGTTCCTTTCACCTTTCATCTTGCCTTGTTCCTTTCCCTGTTTTCTCTGCCCTGTTTTGGGGCTGGTCTTCCTACCATCTTTCCTACTAGGGCTCCCAAAGTGTGGCACTTCTGAGGTTTACATGGTGCGCCCTGGGAATAGCTTGGATTTTTTATCCAGATCATTGGACATAATGGAGTAGATGGAGTCGGGGTGGTAGAGGAACATATACCCTCTCAGGGGGCAGATGGGCTTCCAGAACTGACCAGCCCAACCTCTTTCTCACCACCCTGGTTCTATTTTTAAAGACACCTCTCAATAGCAGGAAATCCTTCCTTTTGTCTACCTTCCATCCCTTATGCTTCAGTTTAAACCCATTTCCTCTTCTTTCCAGAGAAGACAAAGTATCTCATCACCAGCTTTGGGCTGAAATGTTTCGTATTTTAGATTCTTCCCTCCATTCTCTGCCACTGCTTCTTCCTAGATACCACTTTTCTGAATCTGAACTCATGGATCTGTTATCTTGTAACCCATTTATTGTTTTTGTGCCTCTTTTTAGAATCTGCTAGTTTCCCAGCTCTTTTACTCAAACATTAGTCTGATTGCTACAGTGTCCAATGGCAAGAAATCTTAGTATTTTTCACATTCTTTACTCTTATGTCTGCACTTTTGTATCCAGCTTGCTTTATAAAAAACCAGTGCTTCATTGATGACTCATGCTCAGCTTGGTGTCCACTAGGAATGTTACATATTTGTCAGCCATCTTTGAGAGCAGTTAAACTTTCACTCCCAGTTGTCCTGATGCCTCATTTCTCCCATCCTGGGTCCCCCTCTCGGTCCTTGTCCATATTGAGCTTAGCTCGCCATTCCTGACACAAGTTCCCTGACTTCCTCTCCCCTTCCCCGGATGACAGTGAGTTATGACCTTGTCTCCGAAGGTGCCCCCTCCCTCTTGGCTCCTCTCCCAGTGACAACTTCATGGAGGCTGAGAAATATAGTGAGTGGCCTTTCTTGCCTCACTTACTGCTCGGTAAGTTAGCTCAGGGGGAGAGCTGTTCATAACTTTACACTGACATCTGGAGAACAAAGGTTTTGGAGGAGCAGAGCCCAGATTCCCTGGGAGCCAGCAGAGCCAAGTCTTTTTTGAGTTTCCAGCAAAACCTGTGTTATAATAATAGGAGTGGGTCATTGTGTTTAATAGTACAACAAAACCTAAGTGCACATAATAAGCACATCTTTTCTGTGTGCTGGGGTGAGGAGAGGTGACAGTGAGTGTGTAGGATGATATGAAAAGTATTACAGACATGGGAAAGCATCTCAAAGCACACAAAGGTGGCATGAGTCATCACAGGCTTATGGCCACAAGGCTAGATTTTCAATCCCTGCTTCCCTTTTTTGTACCCCAGTTCAATGAAGACATAATTGAAGTGGTGAGAAGAGGGACCACCGCTCTTCAGACTCCAGGGTATTTGTATCCCAGGACCCCTCTGTGGGTGTCAGCCCAGCGGTGCCCAGAGAATATCCCCTGATTGGATCTTTCTTGAATTGACTTGTTCACTTCCCGTTCTGCCCAGCCTGGCCGTGACTCGGTAATCCCCGCAATATGACCTCACAGTGGGCTGAGTGGCCTGGGGAAACTCAAGTTAGGGGCAGAAATGGGGAAGCTGGAAAGTTGGGTGATCAAGAGTGGTTCGGAAGCCTCTGTGTTTGTGTCAATCTGCTTACATCTCTGCCCACCAGCCACCACCACTTTCTCCCTGCCTGGGAGAGGTAGCTGGTCCCATAGACATTTGTGGGGTGCTTGTTTCTGTATCTCCTTCCAGTGGACCAGATCTCTCCAGGCCATTTTTCTAGGTAACTAGGAAGGCCTGACTCTGTCAACAACTTGGCTTTCTTTGGAGCAGGTGTCACTCAGGGATTAGTTAAAAGGGGACCAGTGGTATTCACATTGGCTTGTGGGTATATTTTCTCCTCCTCAAATTATAACCTTTTGGAGGGCAGGAATCATGTTTTATTTTTTGTGCTTTCTTGGTGCCTCACATAATGCTGGTTCGTATGTGGTATTTAATCTGTACTTTGCTTAGGCTGCTTGATTGAGCAGAGAAAGGCTGGGATTTGAATGAATGGATCCCTGGATCCCTGTCCAGGGAAGTTGTGAGGCTGGACAAGTTTATTTCCTCCTTCTTCCCTGTGGAGAAAGTGAAAAAGCGAAAGGGTTGGGGTTGGGATAGTGGGTGGTGTCTTTGTGGCCTTCACCCGATGGCCAAGCAGTGAACTCCACTTGCAGCTTCTGTGTCGCTCACCTGGAAGCAGTGTTGGAGGAGAAGCATGTTGGGGAGGATCCTTAGGACCCCTAACTTTGGAGTTAGGGGTCCCCTGGAGGTGTGGGAAGCTGAGAGTGGCATCCTGGAAACAGGCTAGAGCTGGTCTCACTGGAGGGAGGACGGCCGAGTTCAGAAGGGTCTGGGGCCTGCTTTCCTTTGGGTGGCTCTGACTGGCTCTGGGATGAGTTTAAAAGGTGATTTCCTCCCCCATCTCTCTTTTCTTTTATTTCTGTTTTGGTGTATGTGTATGCAAGACCTTTGATATTTGAGTAGGGAAATCCTCTCTTATCAGTGGAATTCACAGCCTCTTATGCCTTACCCTTTCAGTTTGCCGTAAAGACAGACCAACTAGATTTGTTTGCACAACTCTTAATTTTTTTTTCCTAAGAAACTCCCCCACCCCATTTAATTCTTATTCTTTTTTTTTTTTTTTTTTTGAGATAGATAGAGTCTCACTCTGTTGCCCAGGCTGGAGTGCAGTGGCATAATCTCGGCTCAGTGCAACCTCCGCCTCTCAGGTTCAAGCGATTCTCCTGCCTCAGCCTCCCAAGTAGCTGGGATTACAGGTGGGTGTCACCACACCTGGCTGATTTTTGTTTGTTTTTTTTTTTTAAGTAGAGATGGGGTTTCGCCATGTTGGCCAGGCTGGTCTCAAACTCCTGACCTCAGGTGATCCACATGCCTTGGCCTCCCAAAATGCTGGGATTACAGAGGCGAGCCACTGCACCTGACCATTTAATTCTATTTCTAGATGGCCTGTTCTCCAAGTCTTGGGGCTGCTCAGAAATGGGTTGCTCGGCAGGGCTCGTGGCTCAGCACTGGCATCCCACCAGTGGCCAGGGTGGTCCATAGGCCTCTGGTTCAGCTGTGGCCCTTCTGGCCTTCCTTTGCTATTGGTTTCCACTGCATGGCTGGAGGTGGCCCAGCCTGGAAGCCTCTCAGAGAGTCCTTGGAGTGCTGCTTTCCTTTCCTGTGCTCTCAGGAAAGTCTGCAAGGAGATGGCTGGTGTGGCCCGAGTCCCTGTGTGCTGGCGCAGCACGTCAGGCTGCCTGCACTTGTCTTACTTGAGCCTGTCCTCCTAATCTAGGGATGTAGGACCGTGGACCTAGAGGATTCAAAGTCGTGGGACTAGAATCCAGATCTCTTGATTGAGTCCAGGGAATTTTGCTCACCACAAACCAGGGAACAGCTTCTCTTCCATGGAGGTTCCTGTCTGGAAGGCAGCGAATCTCTGGCTTGTTGAGAAGAGAGAGCAGCTGCCCTTCAGACCACAAGGTGTTCACTGCATAGGACCCTTTGTAGTGCTGACCCAGCTGTGCCCAGTGCTAGAGCTAGGACTCAGTTCTAATTTCCCAGAGAGTGGTGTGATGGAGGCTGTTTCTTTTTCTTTTTTCTTTATTATTATTATTTTTTGAGATGGAGTCTTACTCTGTCACCCAGGCTGGAGGACAGTGGCACGATATCAGCTCACTGCCACCTCTGCCTCCCAGGTTCAAGTGATTCTCCTGCCTCAGACTCCTTAGTAGCTGGGATTACAGGTGCATGCCACCATGCCTGGCTAATTCTTTATTTTTAGTAGAGACGGGGTTTCACCATGTTGGTTGGGCTGGTCTCAAACTCCTGACCTCGTGATCCATCCACCTCAGCTTCCTAAAGTGCTGGGATTACAGGTGTGAGCCACTGTGCTCGGCTCTTTTTCTTTTTTTAGTCCTGATCAGGGATGAATCTGTGCTGTTATGGGTGTGAGTGGGGAGACGGATTAGACAGCACACCCTTGGAAAGGTGGGAAGATTCAGGGGAGAGGGGACAGGACTGGGAAGATCCAGACAGGGTGTGAAAATTTGCTCCAAAAAGAGAGAAGCAGCAGGAGTTCTGTCTAGAGGCTGACCCAGTACCCACACCTGGTGAAGGGACTCCCACGGGGTGGCTGGCTTGAGGGCATCTGGGCGCTGGTTTCTGCTGTGGACAACCTCAAGCAGGGCGTGGAGGCAGCATCTCTCGAAGCACCCGGCAGTGATGGCCCCTGAGGGAGCAGGGACTCCTTCTAGTGCCACTCCTGGAACTAAATTCCTTGTTCCCTGCTTGTCCCACATTTACCATCTTGGTCAGCTGCAGAGCAGGGGACCGTGATGGGAATGTACCTGGAAGCTAATGAAAGTCATCCTGACTCTAGGGAAGAGCCATTCAAAGATGAGAAAGAGAAAGTAATTTACCGCCCCCACCCCACACAGGCTCAATCATCTGTGGATTTTGGTGGGGTGGTGAGGCCTCTTGATCCCTGAACCTCTCCTTAAATGGTGACTGTTCTGGGGGTCCTTTCTCTGCCTCTCTCTGGGGTAACCAGAGGTGGTGGTACAGTCCAGTGTGACTTGTCAGCTGTTGCCCTTTGTGTTCATTTTTGAGAAAATATGAATCTCTGAGATGCCTAAGAGGTGAAACTCCTTTCTCGGTGTCTCCTCCAAATTGATGCCATGTGGGTGGGCAAAGTGGTTGGGCTTATTCATTTACTTTTGGTGTGTATTGTAGTAAAACCTGCTTGTTCTCCTACCCGTCATCAGAGGTGACTCATAGTTGAGACACTAAAAGAGAATAAGCATCTTCATCATTGCCAGACTGTGAACCAACTTCAAGTAACATAGGGATGCTTTGATAATTATATTATTGAAATTATCTCCAATTAGATATGCAAAATGAAGTTGCTGGGGGCCTTGGTTTTCTTTAGGCCAAAGAATCAAGAGCTGAGAGGAAAGGCAGATACCGTCTACTCTCACTTATCACAATTTAGCATTAGGCTTGTTGAGCATGTACTCTCTGCAGAGCATTGTGATAGGTGCTGGGCTGGAGGGGAGCCAGGAAGGCAAGCATCCTCTGTGGGAGTTTTCTTATTTGAGAGGCGAGTGTGTGCAACACAGGGACAGGGAGAAGGGGACAGATCCTTTATACCTGAAAGCAAGACGTGCAGCCAGGAACGCTCAAGGACACAGGCCAACAGAGGTGAATGGACTTGCCCAGTCTACCCAGTTACCTAGCCCAGCTCAGTCACAAACCCAAATGAATGATTCCAAGTTCCACATCAGCATATCAGGCAGCCCCCGAGAGCAGCTCCACAGTGACAGATGGAGCTTTAGGTGGCTTCCTTTAAAATGACCGAGGGAAGCAGGCTTTTTCTCTGACAGCTCTCCAGGGATGGTGAACGCAGGGGTTCCTCTGCAGCTCCCCAGCTCCGGTGTTCCTTAGCCTTCCAAGTTGTTTGAATTAAGTTGCAAACCTGTGTGGCTATACACAGATTCATTTTGGAGTGACTGTGACCGCTTGTATTTCCTGGGGAGCGTTACCATATCTTTGGCCCAGTAAGTACCACACCACGAGCTGGTTCCCTTTCTTTTGCCTTTGAACACCTATGTTTCTGGGAGGATACCTTAGTAAGTGTGCCTGGGCCACTGGGCATAGCAGAGGAGGCACCTCATCATTTTACTGATTTATTTGAAAGAAAAAAGCTTCCCCCAACCCTTGCCTTCCTAGAAACAGAGTGCTTAAAGCTTGGAGAAGAGTTAATGACACCCCTGCCCTGCCCCTTAGTGTCTTACATTGCTAGCTGCTTCTTTGCCTACTGCATTTTCAACTTATTTCAGCTTTTCTGTGGCTTGGAAAATACATTGACTGAGGGATGATTGTTTTCATGAAATGGTGCAACATGTAAAGCAATGGTTGTCATTAATAGTGCAGTTATGTAGCGTGTAGCTCTTTGAGTCTTCAGTTTTGAATCAGATTAGCACTCTGTTAACTTAAAATAGCCCCAAAAAAGAAGAAAGAAAAAAAAGAACTGTCAGAAATCAGAGGGAAATATTAGCATTATGAACCATGTTAACAAGTGGCCATTAGCACTTTATGTCTGCATGAATAGCATCTTTAAGTGTTTTATTGGTAACAGAATAGAGTGGAGTCACATAGAATGGCATTACTTCCCAAATTGGCAAGTTCTTTTAATTCAGACTTCTCCTTGTTATTGCCTACTGGGGAGTACTTATTCACCTGTCAAAATGTATGCCAGGGTAGGAAAGGGTATTTTAGCTTTTCTGGCTACATCCTGGGCTCTCAGGTAGAAAGGCTCTCCTTCTCTCCCACCCTCCCAATGCCCTTGCCAGGAGGAGGGAGAATCTGAAAGCAAGAATGGAGGGAGAGTAATGCGGCAGCTGGGAATTGTGCCTGGCCAGTGCCCCTGCATAGCATTGGGTATGAGTATGGGCATCTCGGTGTGCCTGGAAACACAGTTGGCTACACAGCCCCAGTGGGAAGAGTGCTGAGGAGCTGCTGGTGGTTGGCTTTTCCTCAGGCTCTGCGCCCCTCTCTTTCTAGAGGCTCCACCTACGCCTTAGGAAAAAGACCCCCATTTGTTTCTTACTGGCTCCTGTCAAGGGCTCCCCCAAACCAGCTCAGCCCCTCCATTTATATTATAATGCAAAAGCTCTTCCCTCTGCGCTTCAGGGCCTGTGGGGAAAATGGAATTTGACTCAAACCCAAGCTCCAAAGCTAAAGTGCCCCCAGGTTGGGCTGCCTGACAGTTTTATAGATATGGCGTTGAGTGGCTACCTGGCAGTTTGGAATTGTGAAGTTTCACTCATTCATTTCTCAACAAATATTTTGAACACCTGCCACATGCTGGGCAGGGTTCTTGGTGTTGGCTGTAAAGCCTTGGTCAAAGCCTTAAAAACTCCCTGCCCTTGTGGTGCCCCCTTTCTAGCTCGGGAGAGACAGAAGATGCCCCAATAAATATGTGAATTATATAGCATGGCAAAAGAATATCAAACTGCCTTGCACGAAAAAAAGGTGGGAAGAGGGGTAAGGAGTGCATGGTGAGCATGCTTTTAAATAGGACGGTTAGGGAAGGCCCCCTGAGAAGGAAAGGCTCCAAGGAAGTGGGGAAGTTGGCCATGGGAGAAGTTCGAGAAGATGGTTCCAGGCAGAGTGAATAGCAAATGCAGAAACCTTGTGCATAATATGCCTGGCTGCTGCAGGAGGAGCAGGGGGCTCTGGGGTCAGAGTGGAAGAGTGCAGGAGGGGGGGAGAGACCAGCTGGCTCCTTGAAGGATGCAGAACAGAGATTTTTGGCCCTGACTCCGAGGGAGATGGAAGCCACTGGAGGAGCGATGTCACGTGACTTGGTTTCCAGAGAGTCGCTTTGGCTGCGTTTTGAGACTTGAGCATGGGAAAGTGAGGCAGAAGCAGTCAGAAGGCAAATTCCAGGCAAGTTATGGTGGTATGGATCAGGGTGGTAGGGACGTCAGCAGGGGCTGGATTCCAGACATATTTAGAAGGTAAACGTAGCAGGATTTGCCGACAGATGGGATGGGGGATATGAAAAGAAGAGAGGAGTCAAGATGGACC